GACTTCATCTCCTTTCCCTGGAAGCCTGGCACCTCTCCTCTGGGTCTGTCTGATCCCAAAGATTGGGAGATCCAGGTAGGTCCCCAGAGATGAGTCTGTCTGTGGCTGGCTGTCTGTCTGTCTGTCTCTCTCTCACACACACATACACGCATAGAAGAACATCTTCTTTACAGTAAGTTTATTGTATTTTTCTGTCAGCTCAGGGAGGCAGGGGCGGGAGCAGGCAGGGATACGAAGCAAGCAGTGGGGAGCCTTGGTGTCCACTTGGTGTCCTCCCTGGAAGGGGCAAGCTGGAAAGAGAAGACAAGGGAAAGGGGGTAGGGACTGACACAGGTGGTGAGAAAGGGAAGGAAGGAAAGGCAGAGGAGGCTGAGGGTTCCTGAGAGAGATGGTTCAAGAAGAGGAGGAAAAGTACTTGTAACCCCAATTTTCCTGCTTCCTGAATGGTTTGGAGAAAGGATGAAGGAAAGTGCAGGGCAGGGGGACTGAACACTTCCACGAGGTCCTCTCAGAGTATTCTCTCTCCAGCCAGCTCCTCGCCCCCTCCCCCTGGCAAAGCTCACCTTCCAGAAGGTTCCGCAACAGGGTGAGTGGTAGGTCACTGGGCACTCTCTCCCACAGGGCCTGTGTTCCCAGCCTGTGCTCTGATTAGGAGGACTGCCAGCTTTTGTCCTCTGGTAACAGGATTCTGCCACCAGCAGGTGAGAGAGAGGGATTTTAGGCAGGGAGGCCCTCTTCTGTGTTTCTGAACTCTCTGAGGCAGACCCTGAGTGGGGTGGTGTGCTTTTATGAATCCAAAGGTGGGTACTGGGCATCAGTGACTAACCAGATGCAGAGATTTGCGTGGTGTTTGTGTCTGTGTTCAGGAAACAGCCACGGAACTAGGGGTTAAGAGACCTGCGCTAGTCCTGACTCTGGCACGTACTAGCTGTGTGACCTTGGGCAATCATCTGACCTCTCTGAGTTCCATTTCCGGTCTACAAGCTGGAGATGCTAATCTTGGTCCTGTCAGTACTAGCTCCGTAAGAGTTTCATAAGGTTTAAACAGACAAAGGATGTGAGACTGGCTCATAAACTGAGACATACTGCTTGGGTGATAAAGGAATTGTGTCTGTACACAAGGGTGGGCTATGTACATGGGTTTGTGTCCAGCGGTGCCTGTTTGTGCACAGGTCAGGATGTGAGTCCGTGCCCTGCCAAAACAGAGTGAGGAAGCGGGGAGAATGGAGCAGTGGACACTAGCAGTCAGGAGGCTTTTGATCTGGATGTGCCCTTGACTGGCTGTGTGATCTCGGGCTAGTGCCTGTCCCCTCTGGTCCCAAGGTCCTGTCCAATAAAATGGCAGCCCTATGCTTCATGCTTCAGATACCCACCCTTGCCCTCCATGCCAGGTACGGCTGGTCCCATGTGGTTCCCTGGGCCCAGGAGGCAATGGGGGAGGGAGCTGGGAAGAAATCATGGATCAGGGCTAGGCTTGATGCAAAGGAAATGGGGAGGAAATGGTGTAAGCCTCTGCAAGAGGAGAGCCAATGGCCAAGCGTGGACAAAGAGAGCAGGAGACGGCCGCCGGAAATGTTGGGGTCTGCTACATTCATCTGGTCCGCAGGCCCAGGAGCCCAGCAGGAAACGCAAGGGGAGACAGCTGGCGAGGCTGCACTGCAAGTGGGAAGCTCCCCGGTCCTGTGCCTCAAATGGGATTACATGTCTTCTGTAACCGGCTGGAAGAAAAAAGAAGAGCAAGTTTATTCCTCCCCAACTCCTTTGCCTCCTCACAGCTCCGTGTCTCCCATACTGCACTTTCCCTTCATGCAGTGGTGGCCTCTGGGCCACAGCTGCAAGGCCATATCCAGAAATATCCCAGGCCCTCGGCCCCTTCTCCTCTGCCCTCCTCCTTCTTCCTGCTTCCTACCCCCCCCCCCCCCCGCCCCTCAGACATCCCCTTGTGCCCTTCTTTCCTCATCCATCACCTCCCTTTAACCCCCCTCCCCTTCCCCTGTATCCTTCCTCTCTTTCTTCTTTCCCACTCCTGCCCTCCTCTTCCCCTTCCCACTCTCCCCGGCCCCCTCAACCCATTTCCTTACTGGGAGCACTGGCAGGTTTTCTTCTCACTGAGGAGTCTCTTGATATGAGACATCCGCGCTGCCTGGCGCTGTCCAGGAAGAAGGAGAGGAGTCATGAGGGTCCCAGGCCTCCAGAAGGGAGGTGCCCCTTGGAGGCAGGAATGGGGAGAGCTGGGAGAGGAGAAGCAGTTACTGTGCCTGAGGCCATCTGTCCCAGAATTAACCCTTTGCTCTTTCCAGTCTCTCCCTCTGCATGGGATCTGGGACAGGGCCCAGTCGCCTGCGAGGGAACTCCGGTGCGCGGGCGGAGAGAGCCAGAGCACGAGTGCGTCGCATATACAGGAGATCCTTGTTGCTGTAAAGGTCTCCGGTGCTCACATGCCCTGTGGGAAGTGAAAGGGGGTTCTGGGGAGGCTCACTCACCCTGCGGTGCCAGCACTTAACACAGCAGTAGACCCAGAGCCCAGTGCAAAGCACGAGGCCTAGGACCCCGCCCAGCACGATGGTCAAGAGATTTGTCCAGGTCCTGGTGAGCACAGGAGGCAAAACTGAAGAGAGAAAGATGTGTTCAGCTCACTGCCCGCTGTCAGGGGGCCGGGCATTCTGGAGGGCCCTAGGAAGGCCTCACCGCCCAGTTACGCTTGGGTCTCATCCTTGGGCTGGGAGAGCAGGATAGGGTTTGCAGGGCTCTCGTGACCCACCAGGGCTGAAGGGGAAAGGCTGGGGAAGGGGCCTTAAGGGTTGAAAACCATACAGGACACCCTGGGGACTAGAAGCAGCGGTTTCAGGCTGTATACAGTGCATGCGTGTGTGGGTGTGTCCATGTGTCCGTGTGTCAGGAAGGAGGCAGGGCGGGGACTCTTGGTCGGGTGGGCCCTATTCCGGGGCTGTAGAGCTTAGGGAAGTGGGAACTTGTGGGACTCCAGGTAAGACCCTCACCTTGCCTTCCATCCTGGCCCCTGTGTGTCCAGGCAGCGTGAGAATAACCCACCTGTCTCAGAGGGATTGGGGCGTTGGGACTCTGGGTGGTGTCCACCAACCCCGGGGAAGGTCCCACAGATGAAGAGAGAGGGGCTTGGGGTTAGGCCATGGAACCTGGATCCTCACTCACCCTCGGCCTTGGATGCCAGCAAGACTTTGTCCTTGTGACTCAGTAGACATTGCCATGTTCCCACCTCTGCGTCCTCCACCCTTACCATCTTCTGCTGCTTTGAGACCTTGGCAGCCTGTCCTTCGAGTTTCAAGCTCAGCGTCAGCTCAGGGGAGGTGGGTCCCAGCACCTCACAGGTCAAATTGTTCCCAGACTGAGTCACTGCAGAGGGACAAGACCCTGAGGCTGGGAGCCTGGACCTCTGAGTTCCTGGCACCTCCTTGCTCTAAGGGGATTCGGTGGAACAATCAAAACACTTTACATGGCTACTCTTCCTTGAGCCTCTCAGAGCACATTTTTATGCGGTTGTATAAAGCAAACACAGCTTTTGAGGCCGAGGGTCTTGGATTTGGATCCCAACCCCACTGCTTGCTGTGTCCTGCAGTCACCTGACAACCAAGCCTCAGACAACAGTTAAACACACAATAAATTCACAGACACATGTAAAGCGCTGGAGTGGGTCTGGCGTGTACTAAGCAGCAAGTATTAGCCGTGATTATTTGCGGAGTTACGATGATGGGGGAGATAAGGAAGCAAAGAGCCCAGCGGGTAGCCTGACACTACCCTCATCACGATCACCCTAAGAGCAGATTTTGTTATCTTCATTAGAAGAAAGAGGCCCACAGAGGCAGGGAGCTCAGTCAGGATCATAGAGGGTTGGCTGAAGGCAGAATTAGAACCCTGGTTCTCAGCTCATGCCCTTTGGGGATTCTCAGCAGATCCCACCCCAGGCCGGCTCATGGAGGTCAAGGAAGGACATGGGGACTCCAGTCTCAGTTTGAAACCAGAAGACCCTGGATCAGCTCTGTCGGGCCACCGGGCCTGTCCTGCTGGGCCTCACCCCTCCACCTTCGGCCCCTCCCCTCTGCTGCTCGGCCTAACTCCTCACCTCTCATCACCACGAGTTTTACTTCCTGCTGCAACTGTCCCTTGTCAAGGACCAGGGTCAGGTTTCCAGAACCGGCATAACGAGACAAAACGTTGGGCAGGGTAAAGCGGAGCGGGAGTGAGTCCATCATCTGGAGTTTGGAGTACTGGTCAACCTCTTCCACAGATAGCTTCTTGTTCTTCAAGGTGAAGGAGATCCAGAGCAGGGAGGAGGGAGCCCCCTCTGCCTTCCACCTCAGCTTCCCCATCAGGTTTTCATCTTCGAAGTTGAGCGGGAAGGAAAACTTCACCTGCTCCCCTTCGTTCGCATAGACCGTGTTAGAGACCTTCCGGAAAGCTGGAGGTGGGAAGAGAGAGAAGCTGGGTCAGGAGATAGGAAGATGAGGGTGTATGGGGTAGGGAGGGCATGCGGTGGGGGCAGCAAAGAGATGGAAGGGGGCCGAGTGAGTTCAAACACTTAGGTTGCTATTTCTGGCCCTTAAATTCCCATCTACCTCTCCAAATCTCTCTAGTCTCTCCACCCCAGCAGATTCCCAAGGCAGCACCTCTGCCCCCTGGAAGCCCTCGTAGAACAGCCCAGCCACAGGGTCCGCTCTGTTCTCAGGATCCCTGGAGCACAGGGGATGTTTGGCATGTGCTACTTAGGTGTATAATTCATCAGCCTTCGTAAGATAAGAGCAAATGCCCGACTAGGGCTTACTATGTGCCATGCGCTGTTCTAAGTGCATTACATGAATCAATTCTCGCTGTAACACTACAAGGGAGGTATTATCACAGCGAGCATCATCTCTGAAACCAAGGCACAGAGAGGTTCAGTAACTGGCCCAAGGTCCCCCGGTGAGGTCAGAGCCAGGACTTAAGTCAGTCTGTGCACTTAGCCACCACATTACACTCCCTTGTGTCACATAAGTACAGAGGGCAGGATCTGGGGTGGGACTTGCCTTCTGGGCTCTTGGTACCCGGCATCACCCAACCAGGGTGCCTGGCTCACGATTTAAATTTTTTTTTTAATGTTTATTCATTTTTGAGAAAGAGAGAAAGAGGGACATACATGAGTGGGAGGGCAGAGAGAGACAGAGACACAGAAACTGAAGCCGGCTTCAGGCTCCAAGCTGTCAGCACAGAGCCCAATGCCGGGGTTCATATGGGGGCGGGGGGGGGGGGCAGATCTGAGATCATGACCTGAGCCAAAGACAGAGGCTTAACTGACTGAGCCACCCAGGTGTCCCCCACCTCCCCCGCCGGCTCATGATTTAAAGGAGCAATGTAGAATTTCATCAGGGCTGGATTGCTGGTGTTAGGGTCCCTAAGTAAGTGGATTTACAACTTAGTGGGACTGGGGAGCTGAGACAACAAAGAAAACAGATGCCCTTAACGTTGTTCCTCCTTTGGGGCCTCCTCCAGGGGATTTGGAGTCCCTCACATCCTTACATCCCCTGTCCCTTCTTCCATGCCCACCGCCCTGAGGGGTGGCTATTAATCAGCCCCTTGAGGAAGAGAGGGTCCGGTGTATCCCTCAGGACATATTCAGCTCTGTGGGGGGGGGGCGGGTGGGAGGAGAGGGGGAGGAGGGGCTGGCCCTAGCCTCCCTCTGTTCCCCAGCAGCCACCCCAGGAGCAGAGCAGTGAGAGCGTGGGGAGGATCTGCCTGCCACTGAGGCAGAGGTGAGACGGCAGGGGAGAGGAGCCCCTCTTACCCAGCACCAAGATGTTTGTGTTGAACACCAGTGTCTTCTGGCTCTGGGAGACAGTGCATGTGCAGGTGCCACTCTCCTGCAACTCCAGCTGGGACAGTGAGAGGCTGTGGACCCCACTCTTGCTTTTATTCCCTGGACCTTTCCATTGCACCGAAGGGTTACTACCGGAGGGGCTCTCCAAGGTCAGGGTCAGGCTCTGCCCTTGCAGCAGGTGGATGCTGGTGCTGGTGCTGCTGCTGGTGCTGCTGCTGCTGCCGCTGCCGCTGGGGTCCACCTTGGCAGTCACTGTGGAAAGGAGCAGGCCACCTGTGTCACATACACACTATCCCCAAGGGGAGGGAAGAAACCAGGAACCAAGAGTGTCTCTCCATCACCCCTGCTGACACCTGTGGGTCCATCCCCACCCCCACCCACCCAAGGCAGAGTTTCCTCCTTCTCCTCCTCTCCCTCCCTTTCTTCTGTTGCCTCTCTCCCTCCTTCCTCTGCCCCC